GAAGAAGAAGAAGAAGAAGAAGAAGAAGAAGAAGAAGAAGAAGAAGAAGACAATGATGACGTCCGTTCAGTTGCACCTGATTCTTGGCAACGTTTTCCATACTTATAGATCTTCTTTCACTGGTTTTATGCTCTCATTGGTCTCAGCTTTAATAGTGTCTGGCCACATGTAATCCATTTGAAAGTTATTTTTGAAGTCTCATTTCCTCTTATCATCTACAACTACAAAGCATAACTGCCTTTTCCAGTAGACTTTATATTGCGTGATGTGGCCGAAATAACTAAAGTGGAATTTTAAGACTGACTTCCAGTGATATGTTTGGTTTTCTACAGTCCAGTATTCATTCTAATTTATTTATTTATATCCTACTCTCATTTATTTATTTATATCCTATCAATAATTCAAGGCAATGAATTTACTGAATACTCCTTTCCTCCTGTTTTCCTTACAACAGTCCTATGAGGTGAGTTGAAGTGAGAGAGTGTGACTGGTCCAAAGACACCCAGCCAGCTTTCATGACTAAGGCAGAACTAGAACTCACAGTCTCCTGGTTTCTAGTCTGGTGCCTTAATTAGACAAAAGTGTGTCTCTCTCTGCCTTCTTGTTTGTTACTTTTGCTGTCCAAGGAACATGCAGGGGGCATCTCCAACACCACAGCACAAACAAAGTAACGGATATTCCTAATACTCCTTCCTCCTATTTTCCCCACAACAGTCCTATGAGGTAAGTTGAACTAAGAGAGAGAGAGGTCAATTTTCCTCCAGTCTAATTTTTTCACAGTCCAACTTTTGCCACTGTACGTAGCTATGGGAACCATAATAGTGTGGACTAATTTGCATTTATTTGCAAGGTTGTTGTCTTTTCTTTCTCATATCCTATTCATGCTTGTCATTGCTTTGAGACCCAATGTGATTCAACACTATATCTGGACAGCACTGAACAATCTGTAATTCGAGGAAAGTAGATTCTTATGCACATTTGATCTTTTTACCATCAAGTGTTATTTTGACATTTCTGTTCCTCTCAGTGGTTATGACCTCAGTGTTTTTGATATTCAGAAGAGGCCAAATTTCTCACTGTCTGTTTTAATCCTTTTGATCAGATGTTTCAAGCCTTCTTTGGTTTTGGAGAAAAGAGTTGTAACAAACCTCTATTTATTTCCAAAAGGGGTAAAGCTTGAAGCACAAAACTGCAGAGTAGTAGAATCCTGTGGTTGTCTGTTAAACTTTCAGATTAAAGTAGTTTAGGGAGGTTTTTTATTTTACTTATTTATTTATTATAAATATTTTTGTATTTATTCTTTCAGTTGTTATTTATCTGGGAAAGACATACAACAGACAAAATAAAAACTTTGAAGCAAATATTTTATTTATTAAATAAATTCATGTAGCTGAATTAAAGCAACTGAATAAGTCTAACACTTATTTTATTTTTACTATCTATAACCATAGAGGATACAAGTTATATTTTACCTGTCCATATTGGTTGCCGTCATATGATTCACCATATCCACCCTATGGAAGAAAACCCAGTTATTATTTTAAAATGTCTCATTGCTGAAATATTATATTTGCCTAGCAAACTTTTATAGATTTCTCATGTCAGCTTTCTTAGACCAGAAAGAAATGTAAAATGGAGTTTTGTATTTTTATTTAAATTATAAATAAAAATAAAATCTGTAGAATGTGGTGAGAGATAGAAAATTGTTGGTTTTTAAGGATATCTTATCATTTATATTGAAAATGAAGAAAATTAGGCCTGCAGGTTATAAACTTTGCCTTTATTAGGGCTACTCTACCTTGGCTAAATAAACCCATTGGTCCACTAGATGGAAACAGAGTTTCTATATCACTTTGCTGCCACCTAGAGGTTGTCAAGATTGTTACTCTTCAGAAACTGATCTGCTAGCAATATGACAAATCATACAATTTTAAAATAGGCAGGTACCTTGAGCCCTTTTGTAATAGACTACAGCAAGATAATTTCTGGAGGCTACAAAGTAAGTGATATTATTTTAGGCTGATTTTGACATCTCTATATTACCATGATATATATCACATAGTGTCAGGCTCAGGCCCAAAGACAGCAGAGCAAAATCCAGTTGAGTCCAATTCTTTATTTGCCTACACCAAAAGGACAGAATCTTGCCAAATTAAAGCTATATTTTTTATCCTAATAGATACTTATATCTGGAGGGCTTCTAGAGTGTGGCCACCCTGAGCCTCTTCCAGCTTGGGACTTGGCAATTTTTTAATTATTTTTTTTTCCTCTTCTGTCTTCCACTACCAATACATCCAGACAGCAGGGATCCAAGGTTGGCGAAATCAGCATTATGAAATTGGATAAAATGGATTTTCTTAACAACCAGTGTGTTCACTCAATGACCATAGTGAATAGAATAGAATAGAATTCTTTATTGGCCAAGAATGGTTGGACACACAAGAAATTCTCTTGGTGATCACTGCAGAAAATGTCATAAAATAGGGTCCAGTCACTTGGTGACCCACTTAACAACTGCAATGACTTATAAGTCACAAGTCAGGGATTACCTATATGTAATATTTTACCTGTTCAGATTGGTTGCTGCCTCCATCTGTTCCAACTTGTTCATTCTGAAGAAAATAATAATTCCTTCAGGAAGTTGTTAAAATAATATGCCGTCTTAAAACATTTTAGATATCTTTAACATTTGTTCCATAAGAATCTCTATTTTAAACTATTTTCGCTATGTTTTTTTAAACCTAAGAACAGAAATGATTATGAAGTTCTTTCTATACAATCTATAGAACATTAACATATAATATATACTTACTCTCTTAGTAGGGCTTATTTGCTTCTCCAAGTCTCAAAACATTCTATATACATATACCTCATATATACTAATTCTGTTTGCACACAAACTTGAATTCTCCTGCTGTATAGATTTTAAAGCAATAGTAGGAAGTGGTTTCAAACAAACAAACAAAGGTTTCCCACAGCACTGAATAAAAGCAACAACCCATAACTACTGCCTTCTATAGGGTGCCATTGATACTGGTAGTTTTTATTTAGCAAAGAAGAGTCTAGTTTCATTACTTCCTATTCAGTAAAGCTAGAGAGTTCATGATTAATTGCTCCTTAATTCATCATCTGTCTCCTTTCCTTTCTTTTATTGCCAAAAGAGTGCTACTTTGGTGTAAAAGAGGGGGAAAATGGGAATTATCTAGTACATTAAACTCTATCCATCTGGAATATATGCTTGACTAATTCAGATATATTCACCAAAAAAGTCACCTTAACATCACTACAAACATGCATAAAAATTTTAACCGATCTCCTAGTTAGTTATTGGATGTGTAGATAAGTTCTACAAAGAATCAGAATTTAGGTATCAATCTTTTATTTTAATAGCATTTTAAATTTAAAATCTGTATTGTTTTATGATGTATTTTAATCAATGTTTGTAAGCCACCTAGATTTCACCTTGGGTGAGATGGGAAGCATATCATTTTAATACTGCTGTATAGTATTATTATCAGATTAGTTTTACCCAAATCTAGTAGTGATATGTCTGCATGGCTGTGTTAGCAAGCAGAATTTAGGCCCCTAAGATTTAATCAGCATGAGACTGAACTGAAACATGCTGTTTACATAATGTTGCTCATGCAGCAGCCATTATTTGCCAATTATTCTCCCATCTCTCTGTGTGTGGCAATTTCTTTTATCTTATGCTAGCAGTTCAATCTCCTTTCATTCAGAAGGAATATCAACTTTTTCTATCTTTTGCACAAGGCCTCCTCAACCTAGGTAAAAGTAAAATCTCTCTCAAGATGGACTACATGTGGATAGTTAGAATAGAATAGAATAGAATAGAATAGAATAGAATAGAATAGAATAGAATAGAATAGAAT